GTTACTAATAATAACTAATAATAATAGCTTGCATTTATATAGCGCCTTTCAAGGGACCCAAGGTCGCTTTACAAGTAATAGGGCAAAAACAAACATCACAAAAGTCAGACAGACAAAACAACAGATCGATTAGGGGCCGAAAGCCTTGGCAAACAGATGGGACTTGAGGGCCCTTTTGAAGGCGTAGAGTGTGGGGATGTTGTGAATCACCGCAGGGAGAGCGTTCCAGAGGGTGGGGGCTGCCACACTGTAGGCTCTGTCCCCGAAGGTTCGCAGTTTGGTGCGGGGGGTGGTAAGCAGGCCAGAGTCTGAGGACCGCAGGTTCCGGGGTGGGGCATGTGGGTGAAGGATGTCCGATAGGTACTGGGGGGCAAGGGCATGGAGGGACTTGTAGGTAAGGAGGAGTACTTTGTAGGATATACGGAACTTGACCGGCAACCAGTGTAGGTGGATGAGGGTGGGAGTGATGTGCTGCCACGGCTTTGTGTGTGTGAGTACCCTAGCAGCACAGTTTTGGACATACTGGAGCCTGTCCAGGTTTTTTTTGGGAACCCCGAACAGGACACCATTGCAGTAGTCCAAGCGGGTGGTGACAAATGCATGCACTAGGGTTTCGGCAACCGACTCCGAGAGTGACGGTCGGAGTCTGGCAATGTTCCTCAGGTGGAAAAAGGCCGATTTGGTCACAGATTTGACGTGGGAATGGAAGGAAAGGGTGGAGTCAAGGATGACATCCAGGTTGCGGGCTTCAGGAGATGGGGAGATGGAGCAGCCGTCGACCTCGAGGATGAAGTCACCAACCTTCTGGAGCAGGGCCTTGGGTGCCACAACCATGAGCTCTGTTTTATTGCTGTTCAGCTTAAGGTAGTTGGAAGACATCCATGTTTTGATGTCATGCAGGCAGTTGATGAGGGACTGAGGGGGGAGCCGGGAGGATGGAGTGGTGCTGGAGCCTCGCAGCGGCGAAACCGTGCCACGCCAAACTAATTGCGCCGCATAAACGCATAGGTGCGCCGCATTTGCGGCTCAGTTGAGGCTCCCTCCGCAAGATGAGGCCCCCTCCGCGAGGTGAGGTCCCACGCAGTCTGCATGATCTTCCTGTAGGGAGGGACGGCCCTGATTGTAACAAATATATACGCAGCGATATGTAAAGATACTGAGATGTACTTTTCTTCTCTTGTGACAGATGTTCCTCCACCAGGGGGAGTAACTGTTCTTAATTCTGACCAGGACAAGGTTTATTTTGGCTTTCCACCAACTGAAAACTCTGCTGGGTTTAGACTACAGTTAGATTACTCCTGTGAAACAAACAGCGGCAGTTTGACTGTTAATGACTCCAGCCCTGTGAAAGTTAAGGCACTGATTAGTAGGACTGAGTGTACCTTCAGCATCATAAGGATTGCAGACAATGGAAATCAAAGCGAAGCAACCTCGCTATCTGTATTCACGAGTTAATCTGAAAATCAAATAAATACCATCTGTTTCTGGATCTTTTGGATAATTATATGGGGCTGTTTGTGGCCTTTACTTGGGAGTCAAACAGCACTTTAAAATGCTGACAAACATAGATGGAACATGAATTTTTTAAGTTTTAGTGACTTTGTAGGGTGCTTGCTGACCAAGAGGTCAAAGTTCTCTGTGAGAATGTTAAAATAGTCACAGTATTAGCCACATGACTTAATGGTCTTAATGCCGATATCGTTCAGTGGAACCCACTTTGTTAAGTCCAACGAGACAACAAGCCCTCCTTGAGTCTATTAGTCCAGATGACTATCAGCCCAGGGGCAGAAAGGATCCTGTTGAAAGAAAGCTACTTTTTTGCCTGTCAGGTAATAAAGATGAGAAAAAAAATGTAATCGCTGTATTACAACAGTTCCAAAGTATTAGGTATAATGAAATTACCTCCTCGTTATCTGTATTGACGAGTTCATCTGAAAATCAAATCAATACCATCTGTTTCTGGATCTTTTGGATAATTATACATGGCTTTTGTGTGGCCTTTACTTGGGAGTCAAACAGCACTTTAAAATGCTGACAAACATTGATGTGAAAAGGAATCTAACTTCGATACAACCAACGTTAATATCTAGGCCGTCTCTGATACAGTCAAAAAACTGACTTTTTGGTGTAGTAAAATATATTTAATTAACTGTCGTACTTTTTACATGGTAATATCAAGATTCACAAAGAACTAGAATTTCTTAAGTAACATTTTAAATGTATACACCTTTTATTCATGCAATACATTTACAGTGTGGGAGGAGTACGTTTTATTATATATTTACTCATACTATTTAAATGATTTATAATCACTGCTCATAAACCTTAAAATACTAAGTAAATGTTAATCTAAAACCATAGTAGCTGTTTGAATCCGTGCATGCGTCTTGACAAGACAAGATACCCGCGTTTTTGGACGACGGTTCAGTTGGGTTTGCAGTTGCACATTTGAAGGCTGTCGGAGGAGCTGTATGGCTGGAAAAAGAAGTGTTGGTAAGTTATTGTCTCTCTGTTTAAGACTTATGATAATATATGTGTCTTTGTGCATAATAGCCTGATTCTTGTTTGCTTGAACCATGTTAACGTTTCTGTGCATTAGTTCACAAAGTTGAGAGATTATGTTTTAGATATGTTACGTGCTGTTAGCTAGCTAACCTTAACTGTAATTGACCAGATAATTAAAAAAAAACACTCACATGCATCTAAAGAAGGTTCCACGTTTTATTTCACGTCTATAAAACTAAGGGCATAACAGTTGGAATAGCATTGTCAAAAGCAAAGGAGAGGAAAAGTAATGTTAGCTGAGTTAGCGTTAGCCGCAGTTTTCCAAAATTAGCTTTGTCATCCTGTCAGGTTATGGATACAATGGATTTTTTTTAAACATTAAAAAAAATATGTACAGAAACCAAAGAGGTTACAGTGCTTGCATTTTGTCAAATACGCCAATCTATTGTGTTGTATAGATATATTAGCTACTGAAATTAGCATGCTAACTGACTAGCCCTGGCATCAGCCGAGGCGCCAGGATTTCAATTGTGGGTGGGCCAATGTAATTTCGGCTGGGCCTGTTCTAATAGATGTTTCTCGTTAACAAAAATGTAATAAAAATAAATGCCTGCATATCATTGTAGGCAACTGTGTAATGCATATTTCCTATAGTAAAGACACTTTTTCAAAACCCTTCTCTTTTAAACATTTTCACTTATGAGAAGCTTAAATATTATTTAAATGATTAAGCGACACGCCGCAATGAGTGCAAATAAATGTTATACTGCATGTTATTTAGTTTTGGTTCACAATACATTGATACGTTTAGAAACAAAAAGCAGACAACGGCAGAATACGGAATAATGAGCGAACACCTGATGTGTGTCTGTGTGGTTAGACCGCAGCATGCTGTCCTTTAGCGGATCTAGCGAAGTGAGCGGCCGTGCGTAAAAGGCACTGGTTCTCTGACGCGGCACTTTTCAGAGGCTGCAGATTTATCATTAGGCTACTTCCTTCTGATACTGCAGAGATTTCATGAGCTGAAGGTACGTTTCATACTAAAGCAGCTGGGCAGCAGATACTGTTGCTTCACACTCGTAAGCTTTGCTGATTTGGGCTGGAGAATGCCTGCCGCATCAGGGTGCGCTCTGGTAGTTGCAAATGGCATGACATGTTAGCTCTACGTTTCTTAATCATTTTCCTAGATATGTAGTCTCAATATGAAATGAGGAATCTCTTGCTTTGCACACGTGAGAATTATGTCCGGTAAAACTTTACGTGTTCCCGATTTTTCTCAATGATCTCTCCCTGTCGGCCCTCTGGGTTGAGTAGCTGATGGAGGATGGTTCCATGGTCAGACTTCTCGCACTGTCTGTAGTTTGTATTTCTCCCCATAGCTATTGCATGAGCTGCGCTGCATTCGTGTTTACTGAGAGATAGTCGATATGTTTCCAGACCCTGTAACCATGGCGACTGAATGTATCTTCTCCGCCGGCCCCGCCTCTCTCACTAAAATGCCGGCACATTTTACAAAACACACTGTCCTTGCTAATGCTATACTCCAAGAATGTGTACTTGTCATACCAGTGGGCAGCGGAGCTCCTTTTCTTTTGTCCGAAAAGTGTCTGATGAGGGTACTTTATGAGATTTCGCTGTGTAGCCGCCGGGTCATCTATGGCTGAGAGGTCCGGCACTGGGATGCTATTTTCTGTTATTAATTCTGTTATATTTTCTGTTATCCGATTGGTCAGCTCGGCCACTCTGTTCGGACCAGCAAACTTAACATGTTGCTGCCGTTACAGGGTTAGACCCAGCGCTACCGCTGTTTTCTCGTTTCTGCCATCAATAAATGAACGAAGCGTACACGGACCAAGCAATCCCAAATGAAGCTAATTCACAGTAAACACACACACGGCTTAAAATGTCTTATAATTATATTGTTGTTGTTTTTTTTACAGTAAGTTAAAGTATTTTTTCTGCAGTTTGAGACCTGTGAGTTAGTGCATCACTAATTATAATCCAGTGATATAATACATATTATTGTCAAATGAGCCATTCTGCATAATGAGTACTTTTTACTTTAAGTTTATTTTGATACTAATACTTTTGAAATTTTACTTAAGTAAGGTTGTGAATGCATGACTTTTACTTGTAACAGAGTAAATACTCTGTTATAAATATACACTGTGGTATTGCTACTTTTACTTCAGTAAAATATCCACATACTGTTTCCACCAATTGTTTAATTTTTTTTCTTCAAATATTCAATCAAGTCTAATTAAGTGGAAATGTTATATTCACGAAGTTCATCTGTCTTATTTACATATCTGTCTATCAACAGGAAGAATAGCAGTACAGCAGTGAGCCAGTGGAGTCTAATTGGGGTGATTGCTCAGGCAAGTAGAGTGATATATTATTACTGTTATTCTTCACTGCGTAATGTAATATAAAATTGTGGATAAATGTTTAAACCATTGTTTTAATATTACAAATTATGTCTGTTCATTTACAGAGTGGCCTTACTTTTAAGTGGAGCGGCTGGAGCCAGTTGAGGTCTAGGGAGGAAGACAGTTGACAGATTTCCAAGCTGGTCTCACCAGGGAGAACATGTAGGACTCTTTATATTATGAGATGGTCATGCAAACATTGCAACTTCACGACATCAAAACGTTTACAGCTCATAAAGCATTATAGATTGAATCATCTACACAGCGGTCAAGGCCGGTCAATACCATGCTTGTACTCAGATTGTCCTTGTTCATTTAAAAGTTGGAGTGCTCTTCACACACATTTGTCTAGATACCATACACAAACTGAGCAATTAGGGCAAATTCTTTCATTTTCATGTCTTGTATGTAATGCAAATAGTTTTCACACTGAGAGGCAATATTTTGAACACCTCAGCGCTCATCTGAAAAAGCACGAAACTGTTCATTGTGTTTTTAAAGATTGTGACTATAGTACTAATCTATATTCAACTTTTGCTTCACATAAAAGTAGGAAACACAATCCTCACTGCCTTGAAGATTTTAAATGTAATATAATTCAGTCGTATGCAAGTCAGGCAACAGAAGACAGTAGTTGGTTGGTAGATGAAAGTGAAGTTACTCCTGATGAAACGCTTGTCGAAGAGGGTGAGGATTTAGCTAAAGTCATTGTTCGTGAGCTTGGTTCCTTATTACTTAAATTAGACTGCATCTTCAATGTGCCTGGTAGATGTATAGATGACATTGTAGAGGAGCTTCAATTTATTACTTGTTCAGCATCTGCACCAGTTATCAAAAACATTGTCCATAACACGTTAGAAAACCATAACTGTTCTGTTGAAGAATTGGTGATCACAGATTTGGTAAATAACATTTGCCAGTTAAATCCTCTTAGTATAGCCTTTAATGCAAATGGTCCTCTTGGCACAGCATACCAGAGAAACAGGTACTTAAAAGAACATTTCTCTATTGTTGAACCATTGGAGTATATACTTGATGCAAGGGAGGGTAAGACATTCCAATACGTACCAATTTTGCAATCCTTGTCACAAATTCTGAAAGATAGTGACATCCAGGAGAAGGTGTTGAAGAGTGCAGGGCATTGTGGTTCTTCAGGTCAGAATACTGGTTTTCGTGATGGTTCCCACTTTAAAGAAAACACATTTCTATCTGGAGAGGAGTTAAGACTTTCACTTCTACTCTACTGTGATGATTTTGAGGTATGTAATCCTTTAGGAACCTCGCGCAAGAAGCACAAGGTAACAGGTGTCTATTGGGTTTTGGCTGATATTCCGTCTGTATTAAGGTCAACATTATCATCAATATACTTAGCTGTTTTGTGCAAGGCAGATGATGTTAAAAAATATGGCTATCCTCGAGTGCTAGAGCCATTACTAAGTGATCTGAAAAGCTTTGGTCTTTTTGTGCCCTGTTTAGGGAAAAACATAAAGGGAACTGTATTTTCTGTGATAGCTGATAACCTTGGTGCCCACTCAGTCGGGGGGTTTGTTGAAAGTTTCAGTGGGTCACACTATTGCAGATTTTGTGTCGGAGAGCGGTCCCAGATTCAGGAACTTGAAGTTAGGACAGGAGCATTCCCTTGTAGATCAAAACTGCAACACCAGTTGGATGTTGAAGCAGCATTGGCTAGTAACACTCATAGCCACGGAGTTAAAAGGCATTGCGCAATTACTCAAAGATTGAATCATTTTCATGTGACAACAGGTTACCCACCTGATGTACTGCATGATTTACTTGAGGGTATTGTACCTGTAGAATTGGCATTGTGTTTAGATATCTTGATAAAGAAAAAGTATTTCTCACATGAAGAGCTCAATAGAATCATCAAACAGTTCTCATATAAGTGGAAAGACAGGACAAATTGACCGCAAGGTATACCACTAGCCTTTGCCTCCCGTAAAACCATTGGTGGTAATGCACACGAGAATTGGTGCTTACTGAGGCTGCTTCCACTTATGATTGGTCCCAAAGTACAGGAAGAGGAACAGGCATGGCAGTTGTTAATGACACTAAAATAAGTTGTTGAGTTGGTTATGTCACCTACCCACACAGATGAAAGCATTGGTCACCTGGATAGCCTGATTGCTGAACATAGACATAGATTTAGCAGTGTTTTTCCACAAAGAAAATTGATTCCAAAACACCATTTTGTAGAGCATTACCCGCAGCTCATTAAAGAATTTGGCCCACTAGTGTCCTTATGGACGATGAGGTTTGAGGCTAAACACAGCTTCTTCAAGAAGATCGTGAGACAGACCAACTGCTTCCGTAACATTTTGAAGTCTATGGCAAGAAAACACCAGTCCATGATTGCATACCATCTCCATGGTTCAAATGTCAAGAAACCTGCTCTCTCGGTATCAAAGATGTCAACAGTTCCATTTGAGGTTGTAAATGAAAACATACAAGACTTTCTATCACAGAAATGTCCAGAAGAGAGAGCTGTTCATTTGACAAACAAGGTAGAATATCAGGGCACCAGTTATGGTATTGGCATGATGTTGGTATATGGCTCCACTGGTGGGTTGCCCGACTTTGCTGAAATACTACAAATCATCATTGTTCGCGACAACTTAGTGTTTGTAGTGAAGTTGCAATGTGCATGGTACTGTGAGCATTTGAGATGTTTCAAGTTAGAGTCCACAAGCACAGTCAAAGTAATTGAGCAGTCACAACTCACTGACATATACCCACTGGCTACCTATGCAGTGGAAGGCAATCGAATGCTTTCTCTGAAACACCACATCTGCTTGCGAAACTAGGTAAAGTATCACTTTTTATATAGTGAAATACCTTCGTCAGGACTTATTTTCTGTATTTATTACAGATTTAAGGTTGTTATTATAAAAACCCTAATTGTATATTATACCTTTTTCTGATCTCTCAAGCATGCATTAATCATTGCTTCTTGTGGGGATGTATATTAATTACTTTTGTCTAATCAAATAATGTCTGTTCTTTGTTTACTCTTGCAGTTTTGCTTGGCCACGGCTGTGATGATGTCTACCTCAGCTCAACTACGTGTTATCATTGAAGAGACTCAAGTTCACAAGTTAACCCTACCGGATGGAATCCCTAGCACTGTAGACAATGTTTTGGCAGCTGCACAGGATCATTTTCAACTCCAAGGGAGTTTTACTATTATGCACATGGACAAAGATTTTGATGACCAATTCTTCACTTTAATGTCAACGGATGTGATTAAGGACAAGGACACTATCAAACTAGTGAAAACGGATCCTATTATCCTCACATTCAGTCCGATCCAGGCTCCTGCTTCCTTGCCTGTGCCAAGCGATCTGTCTTTACCAGATGACATTTCCTTGGCTAGTTCATCTGACACCATCCTTTTAACACAGTCCGCACAGTATCGATCAGAACCATGGCCAACTAGTTTTGTGATACCCACCTTTTCATATAATGTCGAAAATGCCCCTTCAAGCAGGCAAGATGGCTTATGAAAGTGATGGCTCACTTCTTCGGAATCCAAGCATGAACTCTGTCATCCTTGAGAAACTTGCTGAAGCAATATTCCACTACACTGCCTATCCAACTGGTCTTCAAATACTGGCAGTCGCAGAAGCTCTGTTAAAAAAAGCATCCATGCCTAAGGGAGCCTGGAACCTCATTTGCAGGCATGTACGGATGGCAACAGCGTCTTAAATACAAGATGGCCAATTACCGTTCTAAAATGAGAAGATGTGATGTACCTTGTCCTGAGCTTGACATCAACTCCTTGAAAAGGAAATTACCCGGTGACAAAAATCCTGCAAAAAATGTCAAAAGACCAAAGAGAGCCGAGGTGAACTACCTTCCTCCACATCCAAGTGGGGAAACTAGCGACAGTCTGGAGATGGATAGGGAGGAGCTTCTCAACGAGGTGAAGAAGAAAAACAACCACAAGGTGATTCAAGAAAAAATGACCAAAACGTTCTCTTATCGAAGGCTCGAGGTTGTGACTGGTAGTCCTGCTGCTGGTGACTTCAAAGAGAGATGGCCTGCTTTGTTTTGTGAAGCTGAGATAGGTGAATCTATACATGCTCCATTGTACAGGAACAAATTAAAAAAAGATAGATACACATGAACATTAATTAACTTGAAACACTATTCTCTCAAAGTTAAAATTCTATAAATAGCTTGTTCATTCCACCATTAATATCTGCACGATTTATAACACCCTATACATAATTGACCCTGCCTTCATTTTGTATCAGACTTATTGGCCCAGTTCCTCATGTTGTGCTTGTGATTACTTTGTCACTTCAGATAAAGGCGGAATTCGGGCGAATAACTACAATTTCGCTGGAGCAGAGCTTCATGTACAAACTCGACCACTACACACCAAAACTTATTGCCCTGATGAAGGCCAAGGGAGGAGTCCTCGGGACCAAGCTGAGGCCGTTCCTGGAAAAACTGAGTCAGGTATGCTTGTTCAAAATTGTGCATGATCACATTTTTTTTTAAGGAAGACAGACCTCACTCACACACACATCACCCAATGCCCAATGCTTACACATATACAGCACACATCCTCACACTCGGTTGTTTAAATGCCCCTGCATGGTCCATCTTTCCATGGCTCTTGCTCAGTTTGCTCAAATCACTCCTCCTCGCTCATGTATGCTCTTGTTTTCTTCCTTGAAAGTTTATTGTGTATGAATATTAGTTCAGTATTGACACAATATTAATCTCTTCACAGAACCAAAGCATTGACATGAGGCGTGACTCTGTCATCCGCAGCCTCATACTCTACCTTGGCGAAAAACAACAGGATCTTTTTGAAGATTGCCTGGTAAAGCATGATTTTTTTTTTTTTTTTAATGACACTGTTGTAACATTTTAATGTTAAAACAGGAGGTCTTTAGAGGGAGATAGCAGCTCAACAGTTTATGTCATATAGAAGTGGTTTACATCATCTGAAAGCTGGGTCAAATTGTTCTAGTCACAAATCTATTATGAACATAGTTTATTAATTTCAATTAATTAAATTGTAATGTTTTCAGTGTATTACGGCTCAGAACATTGGTCCAAGTATTTGAGAGATGCTATCCTGCTCTATTATGTCCCATAACTTGTTGCAGCAATGTTTGTGTTGATAGAATTTAATACACAGATTTGCTGCTAAATTTAAGCATATTAACCACTCGAGAATTGCCAAATATGGTCAAAAATTCCTTCAAAGTATCACATTAGGACATCAAGACATAGAATAATCTATGCTGTGATTTGGAATAAAAAAATCTGAATTATTTTTAAATTTCTGCAAGAATTGCATTTTTCCACGATTGGATGGTGAGCACTTCTGTTCTGGAAACTGCTCAGAACTCCCTAAATAAACCTAGGAACGCCATACATCCTCTGAAATCCCTCCATCTCTAGTTTATGGCTGTGACTATCCTAGAAGCCATAACAGCTCATTTTATACTGTGAAGTCAATCTTCAAAAAAAGTTTCACTCCAATGGAATGGCTCCTACATCATCACACATGAATATAATTGGGCTCATTGGATCCACATATCCAATTCATGCAATTCCAAGACCCCAGCATGCAAAAATATTAAAATACAACGTTTTAAGAAAGGCGAAAAAAACACATTTATACTGCATGCACAGAACTGCATGTTTTTCGTCCCAAACTGCCTGTGTCCATGTGTGTAAAGAGGAGACTCGTGGGTATCCAGAGAACACATTTTCATTCAGATATCTTGAGCTTAAAGGTCAGGGGATGACCCCTTTGAATATGGTCATGTCATTTTCCCCTCGCCAAAATGTTGCCTATCTTTGCAGCGTTATTTAGCCTCTTTGCTGACCAGCATGACATGGTTGGACAAGGCACCAATGGATTCCTCAGATCCTAATTTCATATGATATTTTCTTTACTCTAGCTTCAGAACTGAGCCCTCTAGAGCGTCTGAAAGACAGTACAATTGGCCGGCCCGGATTAGGGCCCTAGGGTCTCAGAGTGAATGATGGTCTTTAGCACATGTGTTCATTCTGCCCTGACAATGAAGTCACTTTGAATGATTCAAGCATTCTATGTTTCTCACTTCATTTTTCTTGTAAATTGTATGCAGGAGGACAGCCGCAGTGATGCAACTGAACACGTCTTGAAGATCCTGGTTGTCTATGGTGCCAATGAAGAGGATCCAGTTGATGCAGCCCTCCTGCTTGAAGGCAGAGAGATTATGCCAGGATGCGGCAGTACTGCCAAAGCATGCACGCTCCTTATGGGCCTGATGTATGCGTTAAACTTGGCATACCCCCCAACACTGCGCTACACTTTTGAGGTGTTCCAGAAACTTTTTCTCGGACTGGATGGGATTAAGCTGACCCCAAAAGTGCAAGCTTTGAATGTGAACCTGCTGTCTTAAAGACATGGAAAAGCCGTCTATTCATATCAAGTATGTTCTTGCATGAGGCCCTTTGTATGTCGCTGCAAGTTGAAATTTATTTGACAATTGACTTTATTTCTGTCTGATTTGAAACTTTGAGCTCGCAGACTTGGAGGAAGTTACACATGTAAAGTAATTGTCAAGCTTCTTCACATGCAGACTTCTCAACTGATAGAGTGATTGTGTTAAGTGTGACGCAACAGTTTCTAAGGACCTAACTAATTTTCAGTTATTCCTCACCACCTGGGTTTTCTTGTTCTAAACACTTCAGCGTTTTCTCACCTGCCTCTGAGCTTTCATGGTTCTGGCTCTATTCATATCAAGTATGTTCTTGCATGAGGCCCTTTGTATGTCGCTGCAAGTTTACATTTATTTGACAATTTACTTTATTTCTGTCTGATTTGAAACTTTGAGCTCGCAGACTTGGAGGAAGTTACACATGTAAAGTAATTGTCAAGCTTCTTCACATGCAGACTTCTCAACAGCGTTTTCTCACCTGCCTCTGAGCTTTCATGGTTCTGGCTCTTGGGTTTTGTGAAAGCTGCTGCTTAGAGATTGTTTGCATGCAGTTATTATAATGTTAATGTTGTCGGTTAATAGTGATTGAATTGTTGACAAAATAAAGTGTAATTGTATTGTATTTTAGTTGTGTGATTTGTGCTCAATGTATATTAAATGCATAGATTATTACATTTATTAGGTAACATTTTTCAAAAGTAAATGAGTAACAATTGCATAATTAAAGTGAGTAATATAACTTCAAACAAATGAGTAATTCAACATTTTAAACTGAAAAAATATGATAAAATCTACTTAATTACTTCATAACAGTAACTATTACAGATATATAATATTTACTTAATAATTTGATAACAGTGATGTTCCTGTCCATGAAGAAAGAAGTACATTTGACTTGATACTGGAAAGTAAGTTCTACTTGATATTACAGCAGTAAAATATACTTAGAAAAAGTAAGTGCAAATACTTCCTAAGATTTAATCAAGTAAATCCTACAAGTTGTTTTTTTCAGTGTACCGTTCTCCGGTGCTGATAAGGCTCCGGTGAATAGCCGTCCAACCTTTTTAGGACTAAACCCCCCAGAATATACACGCAAGATCAACATAATCTGCTTAGGGGGGCGTTTGCAGCGTGGCCTCTAACACCAAACTGCCCGTCGTATCCCTATTTTAGGCACTCCAGCCACGGATGTCCGACCGCTAGGATAGCAAAAACGGAGTGTATAGTGTAGTAGGTGTTGGTGGGCTGGTAGAACCCCAGAGCAGTATCAAAACTGCCCCTGGAGGGGAAACCCTGTGTCGTTGGGACAGGTTCACAAGTCAAATGTTCTAAAAAAGCCGTCTAAAAGAGCCCAAGCCCAGGCCCAGGGCTTGGGCCTCAGAAAACTTCCCCCAAGCCTTCAAGCCTCAAAAAGCCCCAAAAGCCCCCCTTTCTCTTCACACATCATCTTTTATAGTCTCTTGCCTCCTTCCTCTCTGCACCAGGTGGTTTCCCCTTTTCTATCTTTGAGGGAGAAGGAGGTCACATATGTTCAACTTTTACTTAATGAACAATTAAAAATGTAAAGTTAAAATACAACAAGACTTATAGTAATAATATGCAATTTTAACAAGAGGGCATATGAACATTTTTCATGAAAGCAGAACACATTGTCAATGTCATGTTTTAACACAACGTTTTTTTCTTTAAACGTTTCAATTTCAAATATACAAACTTTATACTTTAATTCATTATGAACAGAGACTTCATTTATTAACAGAGGCAACAGAAGCAGCTTGTCTCTATGATTCCCTGGCCCAGGAAGTTGATTTGAATATGTGTGTAGGCCGCCTGCATCCTGTGCCTCATTGTCTTCGTACCCGTTCTAACCGCTCTCAAGGTGTCAAAAACCACAAGCGCCTTCTCAGAATCGTAGCTGGAACTTTTACGCTTTTATTGCCCCATCTAGCATAGGTCAACAGTTCAGAATGTTCTATCTAGTTTCACATGCCTGGTTTCACATTTCATACTGGGTGACAATATTATTTTGACATTTTGCACCAAACAAAATACTGGCCTACATAGCGGCACCACGAAATCTATATTCTAGTTGAGACAGAGGGTTGATCAGTTATTTTGCCTTATGTTGAGACTGGCGCCAGAGAGATAACTTTGCTCACTGGTCTTTCCAGCATGTTTGTTTCTGTCATACAAATAATCAGACAATTTCTTGCAAAAGTTTTAGATAAATTGGGACCTTTTGCAAGAAACAAAATCTGTCATCAAAATAATCAGACCTCTTGATCTGGGTGGTGTCTCCAGAGCTTTTGCCATTAACCAGGATCCATGAGGTGCATTTGAGTTTATGATCAATACATGTATGTCCAGGTATTTAGTTTCTTTGAATGCAATTCCATTCCGGTCTTTCTTGCAAAAGTCGTAGATTCATCTGGTCTAGAACTCCGTTATGCATTGCACTTGCTGCCAATGGTGTTTTGGCTGTGTATATTGCAGATGGATTTATCCTGGGGGCAGCATTGGTTTGACCTTGAGCTGAAGCAAGTGGTCGGGTGATAGAGGTTCAAAGTCATTTGGAACATTTGGCACTGTAGTTATGTGTGTCGGCTGTTGATAATTAGTTTACACGCACATAACTGTTGAAGGGCTTTCATCATCAAGCTGTCCATAACTCTGACATACATGTATGGTGGCAGCTCTGGCGTAAATCTGTCTTTTGGTAAATCTGACATGTTTTGCTCTTTTTCAGTTCTATGTATGCACCTGCACTTACTGTCGCAAAACAACTTTCTTTATAGTCATCAGTATCATGTCTTTAGATGAAAACAACCAAAACTGGAAAGATTGCATTTTTCATTTAGTTTGAATCTATGAATTTGCAGTTCTCCACTTTTCCCTGAGTTTAAAGGAAGGTATCAATATCTTCCATTGACTTACAACATCCTTAAAGACAAATAGTTTAAGTGAGCAGTGCTTTTCTATCTTCACTGTTAATGGCTTTCCAATTTGACCTTTCTCCAAACAAGCTGCTGCAAAAGAGTTCATTTCCATAGTTCTCTTCGAGCAATCTCTTGGCTTTCTAGTCCTTTTTAGAATTCATTTATTGAAACCTTCTCACCAAGTCTTTAGTTTGAACAACATCTCAATAAATGGAAGGTACTCTAATTTATAGTTTTTAAAGATGGGTATTTCTCTGGATGGATGTAATGTTAAGCGTTGCTCCTTTGGCAGCATTTCAGTCATTTTGATTTGGCGCTACATTACTTAAATCGAGTCACTCTTTCTTTGCTATTTGATTGTGACTTTGTCTGACTTGGCTGGAGTAATGCTGCGCTGCTGATGCTTTTGTCTACTATGTGGGCCTCCATTGCTTGAGATTGAACGCAAGTAAGGGCCCATGAAGACTTTTCTATTGTCTTGCTCTATGTTCTTCATTATGAACATCAGCATTTTCATCTGGTTGACCAGTACAGTATCGCTCCACCACAACACATTTATTATCATCCTCCACCATACTCCAGGGCTTCCATGGTTGTTATTTGATCAGTTTGAAGCTCAAGCTTTTCCATTACCACTCTGAGACTTGTTTTTATTGCTTCAAGGTTAGCTTCTTGTTTTTCAAGCGAATGTATCTGTTGTGAAGCAGCAGTGAGTTCTTAGAGCAACTTTCTCAGCAACAGCCTTTCTTCATGTTAATGAAGCTGTTATAGATATATTACTGCCAATATAGCACATATGACCCTTACTGCTAATCTGGCTCACACATTTTATGTATGCGTACTTATCAGAATCTAAATCAGAATTCCTTTATGAGTCCCACTGCGGGGAAATGTACAGTGTTACAGCTAAAGTGTCATAGCAGGTAAAAAAGGCAACCAATAAATGGCAAACAAAGATTGTATTTTATATATATTAAAGTATTGAGACCTTATAACAATTAAATGCTGGGACAATTAAAAAAAAATGTGCTTTTACATAACAATGACTATTGCACAGTACAATTGCAAACAAGTGTATATTTTTTCCTTTTCAGGTCGGTGTTTGCTTAAACCAGGGGTCTGCAACCTATTGGACCAAAAGAGCAATTTTGCCCCCTTTTCCACCAATTTTTTTTGTCTGGAGCCGCAAAACATAATTGATAGCTTAATAGCTTATAAAGTTGTTTATATTGTTATATATATATTTTTTGCATTTATTATGTATTACATTATAGTAAACGGTTTACCTTTAATAATAAACAAAGAACTCTTATAAGGAGAATTAAAAATAAAATACACAGGCCTACTTTAAAATAAATTAAACACAGCACTTGGGGAGTCCTCTGCACATTTGAAGAAAATTAATATAATTAAAATGGGCCCACTTTGAAATAAATAAAACATATAGCTGCACCCTAAAAAGAGTTAACTGATTGAATTATGACTGAAGATCGTCAGCTGTCTTCCTCTTCCGTGTTTTTCCTCCAATACGTAAAGGCTGCAGCACCTTTGACAACTTCTCTCTACATATCAGGGAGGCTGTGGCTCAATGAATTAGTGCACTGATCTTCGAATCAGAGGATAGCAAGTTCGAATCCCACTGCAGTCAGCATGTCGTTGTGTCCCTGGGCAAGAGACTTCACCCTAAATTGCTCCTGTGGGGATTGCCCACAGTATTGAGTATGTAAATCGCTTTGGATAAAAGCGTCTAACAAGTGACATGTAATGTAATGTAATATCAAACATACCGGTAAGCCAGCATCATTTGCTGTGAAAGCATATAACTCTAACCACGCAGAATTAAACCCATGTGTTCCTCCGATACTTTTCTTTTCTTTGATTTATCCATAGTCCGCTCATCGAACCGGGGGTCAGGTTATTCGCCTGCAAGAAAAGGCGCTGGCGCCGGACCGTAGCAGGATATGACTCATATTTGAATTGACCGTTTAAAAAACCTTTTTTTAATTTATGGCTCACAGTATCACCTCAAAATACAATATACAAAACATTTTCAACCATGCTACAAAATATAAATAGTCCTACAAATATTTGTATTTAATTTCCTTCTTATTTTTGTCTAAGCTCAAGGGAGCCAGAGTAGAGGGCTTAAAGAGCCGCATGTTGCACACCCCTGGGTTAGTTGTATATATAACAAGTGTATATGTTTTCCTTTTCAGGTCGGTGTTTGCTTAAACCATGCATATATATTTTTTTGATATGATTGATCATGACAGACATGAAAGATAGTTTCTTTCAATGTTCACCTATCAATGCCAATGTCAAACACAGTGTATTGCATTTTTATAAACCTGCTGTAATTTGATGTGAATTACGTCTCAATCTCTTCTTTCAAGTCCTTTCACTAACAATTCCATTGCAATCTGCCAATTAGATTTGTATATCTCTTCATTTGATTCTAGTGTTGTTGAAGGATCTGGATCCATCTATTAGACAAGCTGTTTAATAATTGACTTCCCATCATAGTTGTAGGTTAAGCAATGTGTACCTTATAAACTATAAGAAAATAACATTGTTATAATAAATGTTGATCCATGCTCATGAATGTTTAATAATCAATTTAGGCTTTAATATTTGTTATTTTCATTTTCTACAGCGACACACCTAGAGAGCCTTTTGGAGGAACTGGGGTTGGATCGCCACGTTGAAGAGAAGTTATCCCTAAGCACACTTCTTAGGATTGACAAGAAGACCATTACTGATGAACCTGCTAAGTGTAATTCAGATCTTCCATGGTATTTTCTGAAGAAACTAATGATGGTCAATGTGACAGCTAGGAATGTGAAATGTACACCTTCACATGAATCAGACTTGGATGATCACTTAGATCTTGATAATCTTGAGGAAAGTACACATTCAGGTGACACAATGAATCCCCTTGACATTATCACTGCTCTCTTCCTGTGCTCTGATGGTTTTGTACAGCAGGAAATGGCCCTCAAAATGTCCATGTGTCAGTTTTCCGTGCCTCTGTTGCTTCCCAACTGTGACACAAAGCAGTGCACACTCATGCTTTGGGCCATGAGAGACATTGTTAAAAAGTACAGACCTCAGTCACTTTCAGAATCCAGGGGATTTATTGAAGAGAGAATTGTTGTCTCTGCACTTCCAATGATATCTTTTGTGAGACTGGGTGAGTGCTCCTTGTCCAAGTCAGAGATCCTCAATAAGCTTCTGAGCAATTCTCAGCAGTACCATGACACCTTTGTTCACTCCAACATGGAGGGTGGTGACAGTCCAAGGAGAATATCCAATGGATTGGTTGAAATGACTTGGTACCTCCCTTGTGGGAACAAAAACATGGATGTCTTCAGCGAGCCAGTTGCTGTAGCTAACCTTCGTGGGGACATTGCTTCATTTGAAACACAATTTGCTTTCTTGTGTCAGACATCGGCAGCAGTTTTTGTGTTCTTTGACGCTTTGGACTCTGAGTGTGAGCTGCTAACCAACCAAAACCACAAGGCCCAGATCTTCTTGGTGGGTAACCGTCAAAGCAAAGATTTCAAATTAGATGCCCTAAAAAAGGTAGCAACCAAGCTGGACTTGACTAATAGCAATATCCTTTTGAAAGAAAAGCACATAAATGATGCAAACTTTGTCAAAAAGGTGCGGGAAAAAGTCAGAAATGCATTTGAAAACACAAAGGTGAAGAGGGGAATTGAGAAGATGGCTGCCATTGCCCATGAACTGGGAATCTGTGTTGATGAAGACGCTTCAGACTGCCAGACTGCCAAGAAAAATGCAGATGCTATCACTGCAGAAATTCAAGACCTTCTTAAATACAAAGAAGCTCAGCTTCCCTTGCAAGGCCAAATATGGAAAGACCTTACTCGCTTGGAGAAGGAAGAATTGCGACTTCGGAAAGTTGAGTCCAAAGATATAGAAAAGTACAAAAGTGATCTTCAGCTACAGAAAACCAAACTTCGGGAAAAACAGAACTCTCATGACATGTCGAACGCAATGACATGTTTCATTAAGGCAATTTCAAGCCCAGGGATGGAGAGGTGCTATTTCCTGAATTGGATGCGAATGAACCTCGATAACGTGTCTCGAGAAAAACTCTTTGACCTCAGGGAGCAGTACAAAGAAAAATGCAAAAACTCTGAGAACAAAGAGATAAAGAAAATTGACCAACAACTTTCCAACAGCTCATTAGGGACTGAACACTTCTTCCGTGAAATGGGGCAGATCTATGAAGCTTCCCTTTCCCTTAAAAAAACAGACCCAGCACGTCAACAACTACAGCATCTCCCCAAGCTATGTGCTGAGTTAATGCTTGATGGATTTCCTCTTGAGCTTGTAGATGGAGAAGCATCCAACATACCTCTCAGATGGGTGAGTGACGTTCTCTCTCAGCTCAATGCCTTGGTGTCTCCTAAGAACAAGATCCTGGTAGTCACAGTTCTTGGAGTTCAGAGCACAGGAAAGTCCACTCTCCTCAACACCATGTTTGGAGTGCAGTTTGCAGTCAGCAGTGGTCGATGCACTCGAGGTGCCTTTATGTTGCTGATTCAAATCAATGAAGATGTCAGAAAAGACTTCAACTGTGACTTCATGGTGATCATTGACACTGAGGGCTTAAAGTCACCAGAGCTCGCACAACTGGACAATAGCCACGAGCACGACAATGAGCTTGCAACACTTGTTGTGGGGCTGAGTGATATCACCATCATCAATGTTGCAATGGAGAATTCAACAGAAATGAAGGACATCCTACAGATAGTTGTGCACGCTTTCCTTAGGATGAAAGAGGTTAGCAAAAAGAAGCCCAAATGTCAGTTTGTTCACCAGAATGTGTCCGATGTTTCAGCCCATGACAAGAACTTGCGAGACAGGAAACTGCTCCTGCAGCAGTTAAACGAGATGACCCAGGCAGCAGCCAAAATGGAAAAGAAAGAAGAGTACTCGAGCTTCACTGATGTGATGGAGTACAGTCCAGACACTGGAAACTGGTACATTCCTGGACTCTGGAATGGAAACCCACCGATGGCACCAGTCAATACAGGCTACAGTGAGGCTGTCTATGAGCTCAAGAAGAACATAATCACCATTTTGGGAAGTTGTGGATCATCAGCTAATAATATCTTGGAGTTTACAGAGTGGATGAAGAGCCTGTGGACGGCAGTAAAACATGAAAACTTCATCTTTAGCTTCAGAAACAGTCTCGTGGCTGATGCATACATGAGGCTGTGCACAGAATTCAACAAGTGGGAATGGGAATTAAAAAAAGAAATGTTCACATTGGTTACACAAGCTGAAACAAGAATTTCTAACTTCGGTACACCTGCTGATAAATCTAACAAATCTGACATGAGAGAACTTCTCATGCTATTGAAAAATGAAGCTTTGACTGAGCTGTCTAAATGGGAAACAAAGCTTCTTGGAAATCTGGAACAGTACTTCAAGCAAACAAATGGCCATGTATATCTTGTTGAAGGATACAGACAGGAGTTTGCAAACAGTGCAAAGAGCCTTCGACAAGAAATGGAAAGCTCTGTGTTTAATCAACTCACAGCAGCAGCTGACATCAGACAGGGGATGACAGAACTTGATAAAATCAAGGAGAACCACACAAAGGAATTAGAGGGCAAAGTATGTGCATTGATTGAAGAATGCCGAAAGGAAAAAGTCAAGATGTCAGAGGAAGAGCTGGACAAAGAATTTGACAAGATGTGGACTAAAACAGTGAAGGAACTTTCCTGTAAAGAAATGAAGAAGGAGGACATTTTCACACCTGTGTCTTTCTCCCTGAGAACAAATCTATCAACCAAGGGAAGTCACGCAAGTGATTTGTTAAGTCAAAAAAGCCTGAAAGAATGTCGACAGGATCTTTTTAAATATACAGCTCAAGGAACCATGGTGTGGTTGAAAGGCCTATTCAGTGCACCAAGTCACACAAAGGCTGCACAACAAACAGCTGTCGGCATCATTACAGTTTGCTCACAGATGGTGAGTGACAAAGTGCAAAGAAAGAGTAATTACCATGATACCTACATCGATGAGATTTTAAACATGATTGATGAGAAGCTGCAAAACAATCAGCAAGTTGGAACAGACATCACTTTTGAAGTCTCTCTGAAACAGCACATCTGTGCAGACGCAGCCAGAAGGTTTCAGAAAATGCATGAAGATTTCATCCATGAAAATGATCCTTACAGATGTCTGAATGAAAACAAAGGAAAGTTTCTTGCTGATTTCAAAGACGTGTTCCATAATGTAGACCAGTGCCAGAAGAAGGCAGAAGAATTCACAGACCGATGCTTGAAGCCTGCAGTCGAAGACTTTGTCAACCGTTCCCTGGGTCCTGATATCATTGGTGAAATGAGGACAAGTGAGCAGTTCAGCACAAGAATGTCCTTCCAGTGTTCAGTTTTACTGGATCTGCTCTCAAAGGATGACTTTAAAAAGTACCTGAGCTTTATTTGCTCCTATGAGCATTATGTGAAGGAATGGATACTCAACAAAATATTGGAACGCTTCTCAGATGGGTCTACGATGTTTGAGGATCAACATCTCCAGTCATGTGTCAACAGCATAAATAATGCTATCCAGAAAGCTAAAACAGAAAAGAGTGGCAACTTAAAGTCATTTGTTGAAGATGTCTGTCAGGAACTTGGTGACAAACTGGTCATTTCCCAGGATGCTCTTGGGGCATTCATGATCCTGAACAATGCCAACCAGGAACAGTTTGCTCTCTGGCTCACTGAGTGTGTGACGGAGATGGCACAAACTCTTAGAAAGAAGTTTGAGAAAACAAATATCCAAACTAAACTACAGAGCCTTCATGTGAATCCTCAGAACGAGCTTTTCAACAAACTGATTGGATGTGGTAAACAGTGTCCGTTCTGCAAAGCACCCTGTGAGGCAGGAGGAAGAGCCCACACTGAGCACTTCACTTCACTTCATCGTCCAGATGGTCTGGGTCGATACAGATGGAGTGATTCAGAAAAACTTGGCATTGACATATGCTCTTCCCTAGTAAACAGCAACAAAGATTTTCGCCACAGTGATACAAAAGATCATTCGCACCCTTACAAGCGTTACAAGGAAAAGTATCCGGACTGGAAAATCTCACCAGATGCAAGCCTCCAGGCATCAGACTACTGGAAATATGTACTGGCAAAGTTCAATGATCAGTTTGCAGCAGCATACGATGCAAAGCCTGCTGATATTCCTGCAGCTTGGAAACTTATCACACCTGAGCAAGCAGAGGCAAGCCTCAAAGAGTCATTTCATATCTAATGAGAAACTACAAGCTTTGTGCTCACAGAGGGTCCCGTCCTCCTCATTACAGTCATCATCCTCTCATGGACATTTAGATTACACTTGATTTATATGAAGAGAAGCACACAAAGTAACATGCTGTTTATGAGATGGCAAGGTTGACCAAATATTTCAACAACAACTTACAAGAAATTTGTAAACGTTTCAGTTTGATTAACATACTTTAATTACTTCTTTTTTTGGTTGTTATTGTAGTATCAATTAATCAGATTATTTCCTTAAAGTAACTGATGCAAACATTTTTGCTTTTATGTTTTTCTGTGGTTTTGTCATAAACATATTAACAATTTCAATGTTTTAAAATATCATTCAGTCTTCATGTCAACATGAAGATTATACAATGTCTTTATTTTTATTTCAAATAAGTATCTGATTCTTATTATTTACATTTTTATTGACACATTCAGAATTGTTGTCTTTTCATTTCTGAGCTGCATCAAAAGCCACACATTTAGATTTTTAAATCAGTGAATGAATCATTGTGTTTTAGTGGTGGTACAGTCAACATGTAAACATGACAGAAAGTCTGTTGTCATCAAGTTCAGTTTGACATGTGACCGTTTCCCAGAGAGTTAGAATCTATTCTTATTTTGTTTCATTTATATATTTACATATTCAATGTTTAACATATCATTCAATCTAAATGTCAACATGTAGATTACACATGAATTTTGTTCTTACCTTATTGAGTGCTATATGTCATTGCTTTACCAACAACCTGAAAGTCTTTCTTTGTATTCCAATCAAGTATTTAGCTCCAAATATTTACATTTTCATGTTCATGTTATAATATTTACTCAAAATGTATTATGTTAGTTTTCATTTTCAAATGCCACATTTTTAACATTTTTAGATCAATTAAAGGATCATTTAGTTCATATTCAGCATGTCAACATGTAAACATGACAACAAGTTTGAATCAAGTTAAGGATGATATAAAGATGGTATTGTTTTTGTGAATATTTATGTTGTTGCATTTTTTATGTTTTAAAGATATTCCAGTCTAAATGTCAACGTGTAGGTTATCCTCCAGGTTGTTTTTATTACCTAATCCAGTATGACATTTAATTATCTTTTTTCAAAATCTATAACCACTTTTTTTTCTGTCATTTAAGAATCTGATATCACATATTTACATGTATTACTCACTTAAAAGATCATTCAATATAAAAGTGCTATTGTCAACAAGTAACAGCATCATATATGATCTTTCTTTTAATCAGATCTTCTAATCTTTTGTTTCTGTGAAGTATCTGATTCTTTATATTTACGTAATACAAAACACCATTCATTCTTTATACTGTTAACATGTATACTTACTACTGTTTACTATTTCAATAAAGAGACCACATCTGCAGACTGGCTATGGATGTCTTTAATGTTTCCCAGATCTGAATCACAGCATACAGAGTATAATAACTTCTAAAGGAAACAGAAATATCATCACCTCATTTATTTATATAGTTTAAATATACTTTCTTTTAATAATCATCTTTTTTTAAATTCCAGGTGTGTGTGTGTGTGTGTGTGTGTGTGTGTGTGTGTGTGTGTGTGTGTGTGTGTGTGTGTGTGTGTGTGTGTGTGTGTGTGTGTGTGTGTGTGACTGTCTTTACCGTGGGCCACATGAAGTCATTTTGGTTTGCTTGGCTGACTGCAGTTTGCTGAGGCTAGGTGTGTCCACATACATCCAGTCTGATCCACGGCTAATCACAGGTTCAGACTCTGAAAGTGAGAGACATTCAGATTAACTTAAAGTTGAATTTAAACTGTTAACAAGAAACTAGAAGTAAAGAATGTTTTGAAGGATGTGTGTGCATGTTTTGCTTTCTAGTGTTTTTGTGTTGATTTGTCCCATAACTGTATATTTTGCTAATTAAAAACACATGATTACATTTGGATAAAGAAAGTATAGATGGAAACACAACAAGGGGAAGTCGGTCCATGTCATTCATTATCTTCATCTTCAGGTCAGCGGAGTTGACAATAATGAATAAATGACTGACCTGTATTCCACCCTGAGCATTCTTTTAACAGTGTTAAAGATACATTCAGCCAGTTATATCATTGTTCAAGAAATCAATCACATGGTCTTACTGAAAACTGTCCTTTACCTATTCATTCTGAACATGGACCCCAGCAGACTATTGACATCTAGTGGACATGAATTGCAACAACACCTACTTTAAACTCAGGATTTCTCTTTCTAATTGTTATTTTTTTAAACATAAAGACATGATGGAACCTTAAACATTTCTTAATTGGACCTGACAATTAAAGACAATTGTTAATTTACTGTTAGCACTGTCATTATTTTAAAGTAAATAATTTAATTTAAAACTTAACCATAGCCTCAAGACATGCAAAGTGAATTAAGAAGAGCAACTATCTGCAATTGACAACAACTTAATATGTTTAACTACAGTTGTCCCAATTGAAGCTCCCGTCACAGTGTACTGACTGATTCTGCAGTCCATTGCTGCTGTCATCATCAAACATCTCCACACACAGACAACACAATCATATCTGTCTACTGATTTATCAGGAAAACTCACAAGGTTTATCCCAATATCCATCCTCAACTTGACCCGGAAATCGATCGTTGAAGGACGTCATGATTCCTTAAATGCGTGCGGAGGAGTCGAGGAGGGAGGAGTCTTCCAGAAGAGAGGGGCGTGAGGAAACCATGGATGTATAATAAGAACTGGATACAGTGTGGGAGGCGGGGCCTCATTCATTCCTATGAGAGTTGCTCATTGGCGCATGATGATAAAATGGCCCAACTTTTTGAGAGAGCGAAACGTCACAGATTACCCGTCATGCCTGAGAAATACCCGTATGTGCGCTCATAGCGCATGCGCAACTTTAACCACGCTCCCCAAAATGCTCGTTCACATTGTCACTACCTGATCTGTCTTTTTGTGCCTTTATGCTTTTTCCTTTCCTCCTGGCTCTTATTGGATGTATTATTTATGTTTTTTTGTCTTATTGTGAATGAATGTCTTGAACTTATGTTGATAAGTTGATGATATCCTCACCGAGCTTTTGTATGTTTAAAAAAATGTTCAATTAAAAAACTGCCCGATCTGTACTGCGCATGTGCGAGATGGTCCGCCATATTGGACAACTACATACGGCAACTCTACTAGGACACTTGACACAGTGGCTTTTGGCAAAGCAGAAATGGATTTAACTTCTGTTAGACATGCAATCATACTGAATAAATATTTACTGTGAATGTATGCAAAAATGTATGGCATATAGCTGTCTAACAGAAGTTAAATCCATGTCTCACTTATTCTGACAATGTATTTAAACCCACAAAAAAGAACCCAATACAAAGAGTTGTTAAATAATAGTGAAGTCACGTTGTAATAACAATAACTCATCTCTCTCGGTTATTTTTCTGCTTGGACCCATAGATATATATAAACACTGTTTATATATATATATATCTATGGGTGGACCGATCGGGTAGTGACACACATCAAGAAGAAGAAGAAGAAGAAGAAGATTTTTAAAACAAATTTTATTTACATTTGTTTTAACCATACACCAGGACAAACCTAATACATTACACAATCAAATAAATAAAAAACCGGATTTTCATGACTACCAAACAAACATCATCTGAAAAGCGTTTTACCCATTTAAAAAAACATCCTCTTTTACACTCTTTAAAAACAAAGACTACACCTATCCTTCAAAACTTCAATATTAGAGAGTCATTCTCCCCCAGTGAGCACAGAACCTGCCCAACAGCCCACACATCCAGAAACCCCTGCAGATGATTGATCAGCGTATAGTACGCATGCTCCACCCTCAGACGCGCTGCCACCAGCCCCCTCAGACAGAGCACTGCATCCGTCCATCCCACTCCAGCAAGTTGGTTCTTCCTACTTTTCCAGATTGCTAATTTTGCATTAGCAAACAAGACATTTATCAGTAGTAGGGTTTTCTTCTTCTTCAGGATGTATTTGGGGCCATAGACAAAAAGTGGTATGGAGAAAACCTCCCCGAACCCTTCCACCCACTCCTGTAACATTTTTTTAAGACCAGCTAATCGGGGACAGGACACCACTAAATGCTCCAGTGTTTCTGCCATAAAACAGAACGGACAGCCCCCCCTTGTGCCCGGGTCAAAATGAGCTCTGTATTTATTTGTGGCTATTGCACCATTAGGGATGGGTACCGAGCCCCGGTATTAAACGGGCCCCGGGGCTGAATTATTAAAGACCGTGGTACCGTTAATCTCCGACGTTATCGGTCTTTTTATCGGTACTGGAGACATCTAAAAAATATGTCATGTGTATTATTGCTACACAAACATTATATTGCAGTTTTAGTGTCGCCAACTCCGTTTCTAATACGCAAAAAGACTGCAAAATGCGTCATTTTTAGTATTTTCGATCTCTCCAATCCAGACGAGAGATCTCTCTCCCCCGTCTGTGTTCGAGGGGGCGGGGCAGTTTACACACACGCAGCTGCTACATGCAGCAACACACACACACACGGAGGAGATGGCGGAGAGAACGCGCTCCGAGGTGTGGTTCAACTTTACCCGTCTCGCTCGTTGCCTAAAGTGCAATAAGAGTTTAGCATGTCAGGGCGGTAACACGAGCAATTTGTCTAAACATCTTGCAAAAGTGCTCCACATTCAGACGGAGGAATGCACCGGGTTCGACTGTCTCTCTAGTAGCTCTGTAGCCCCATCCACGAGTAACGTTTCCACGTCAGGTATATTATGTATGCTAGCAGCAACACACGGAGCTAACTCAATGATACAAAAACATGGGTTGATGATTAGAGGTAACTGAGTTATTTAGTTTGTTAAAGTTTCAGCCATTCTGTTCACAGTTCTGTCATCAGATTATTTAATATGATTTGTTAAAACGTTGTTGTTTCTTTTGATGTGAAATATTATGTATTTAATTTAAATAAAAAGCAATGTTAGTTTTGTTCACAATTTGTTTATTTTCATTTGTCATTTAATCGTTTATTTGAATAGGGACAATGCACATTAATGAACACTTTAGACAAATAATGCTTCAAGTGTAAATATGCCGGATTTTAGCTTTGAGCTAATTTCCATTCGTAGTCCCTGACATACAACATATAGTTCGTTTACCTCATTTTTTTCTCCAAAAGAACCGATAAGAGTACCGTTAAAAGACCGGACCGATAAGCGGTATCGATAAAAGTAGTAGTACCGTTAAAACCTTAACGATACCCATCCCTATGCACCATGTATAATTCTCCATTGGATGTCTGCCATCCGTTTCTCAACTGGAGCTTTATACAGGATCCTCCAGCTGCCCTGAGGGGAAGAGCCCAAGCCAAACACATCCGTCCACTTCGACTCTCTGACGCCTGCGAGCGAGCTGAGGCTAAGCACCTTTACGCAGCTAAGGTATAGCTTCTTCCCATTGCAGGAGCTGAACGTTCCAGGTGTTAGAGTCCCCAGTGATAGCAGGAGACCATCCTCCTCTCTCCATTCCCCCACCGCAGGACCCACACTCAGGGCAGGAAAGGCATACTCATGTCCCTTTCTCCACTGGTCAGCCAGATCTGCATCCAGAGCAAACGTCCGGTGGGATGGCGACAGCGACTGCCACACCTCATCTACCAAAGTCTCCAGAACTCGGGTTGATCGAATGCCCGTCACCTCAGCCAGTTTTTCTGTGGAGACCCCCGTCAAATGGCCAAGTTTTACCACTCCCGCTTCAATGAACGCGTTCTTTAGGGTGGCTGAAGAGAAAAAAGTTCCTGAAAGAAAACCAGTGTCAAACAGTGGCTCCTCAAACAGCCACATCCCAGGCTGGGGGTCAGGTGGTCTGGTAAAACTCAGAATCTTCCAGGCATTGATGACTGAGCAGTAAAAAGGTGTAAGTCCAGTTATCTTGTACGCAGGGGCCTTCAGCAGAAACAAGTGTTTATCAAAACCAAAGCCCCCTGCCCTCCAGAGCAACAGCCGGGCCATAGCCAACCAGCAGGGAGAGGCACCATACAGCAGCCGCTGAGCTGCCTGCAGTCTAAAAGCAGCAGTCCTTGCCGTAATGTCCACGAGGCCCTGCCCCCCCTCCACCACAGGCAGGTACAGGACCGATGCTGGCACCCAGTGATGACCCGACCAGAAGAAATCCACGAGGAGCCGCTGCAGTTGTTTCATGAGGCCCGGCGGTGGGGTTAACACCTGGAGTCTGTGCCACAGAGACGAGGCAACCAGATTGTTGGCGACAAGAACTCTTCCCCTGTAGGACAGCTGGGGTAGCAGCCATCTCCATTTGGCTAATTTTGCTTGCACCTTTCCCAGCAATCCCTCCCAGTTCTGTGCCACCATGTCCTCAGACCCCAACCAAA